TTCTGCCCAGGTATATATAGCTTTTAATTCTGATCAACAAAGCTAATATTTTCACAGTTTGGCTTTGAAAATGATAAATGCTTATCCGACTGAATCACCAATGCCTCAGCTTTTGAGAAGCATGTTTGAAGGACATTCGGATAATATGACCATTTTTTACTATAGCAAGCACGATGGAGGCATTTTACATGACACCTGACGTATGTAGATCTAAATGTAAGATGTGTGCAACTATTTAGCATCCTATAACATGGTCGAGGCTTTTACTTATTTCAAAATTTGTTTCTCAGTTACAGTAGATGATACTGTTTTCAATGTTCTCAATATATAAATAACACGAAAAAAATTTAGCTTTAGATTGGTCGTTGTCAATCCATGCCACGATATGTACAATATCACATCATTAAGATCGGAAATAAGAACTGTTCACCTAGTCCTAGTTCATAAACACTAAAGGCTTGGCTGATAATATTATGAAACAAATGACTGTCTGATAATCTTAAGGTCTGAACATGATTAACATAAGAAAACTTCATTTTCTCACATCAGTAAACAAGATCGTTACTAGTGGAATACCTACTTATCTATACAATAAACTTACCAGACTGACTGATAATAAAGTAACTCGCAATAAACATCTTTTGGTTATTCCTAAACATTCAATAGCTCTGTTTAAGAGCAGCTTTTCATACAATGCTGCGAAACTGTATAACAGCTTTGCAGTAGATCTCAAGAATCTGAGCCTCCGCAATTTTAACAAAAGATTGAAAGCTGATCTCCTGCACGACCAAGGGCCTAAAGTATAAGCAAACCTCGCTACGTTTTGAAGGATAATGTCCCAGTATGTTTCTTTTTAAGTCGCCTTGTTCTTTTTTGCATGAATTGTGCTCTCATAAAAACTGCATTGGCCATGCTCTCGTATGTTCTGTTTTGTATTGCATATTATCTTTTTTTTATATATATATATTTTGTATGAGTGTTATTTTTTTGTGGGTTTAGTTGAAAAGCAGCTTATGCTGAACTACGCCTTTCATCATTTTATCTTTATTTTTTTTTTCTATCCTCAAGTTATATATAATGATGAATAAAGACCATTTATTATTATTATTATTATACCGTTTTCAAGATCTCAATGTTGGGAGGCGATTTTGAGATACCCACTATACTTTTCACAGTGTTTTCCGCAGGTTGCAATTTGGTATAGAATTCATCAGGATGTTGTTTTATAGAAGGGTTACATCATTAATCCTCCAAATTAACTACGTTAGAAATATGGCAAATTTCATCGGTCAAGAGACCTCAGGAATATTTAACTTTATTTCAAAAAAGCAGAAAGGATATAATAGACGAAAAGGGCCCTGTCGCTGGGATGAGTCACCTCTACCTGTGGTATTTTGCACATTGTTGGGTACCACCTCACCAGATTGCCTTATTGCTTAAAAATACTATACTAGTAAGTTACAAACACTGGTAGATATGGTCAAATAATGTTTTGTTCCATATATCACCAACTGTATTTGTAAGAAACGTCACCCTGAAATTACAAGTGCAGCACTGTCTAAATGACATTCCGTGAATATGTTAATTTGTAAAAGTGTATTAAAGCACATAAATGATTTAATCGGTAGATTTAGACACAAAATAACAAAATCGTATACATTTTTGTAGAAAAAAACTAGAATTACTTATAACAGACGTAGAAGTGCAGCATATTTGGAATACTACAGATAACCAGGAATATTTAGGTATCTAAATAAATATGAACGCCATCTGTATTTTACTTTACTGTGAATATAATGTCGTAAATCACACGAAACTACAAGTAGTAAAAACAGTATGCCACCATGACATTTTCTGCTACCAGCCACATGGGAACGCGACGTCCACTATCAAAACTTCTTCGGTAAGAATACAATCATTGATAATACTTAACAATGATACGTGAAATCTTCATTGAAATTATTTAAACTGTTATGTGTTCTTGTAAGTTTATTGTTAGTTTAAAATTTTATTTCGATTCTGTGAATAGAATCAAAAATGTGACATGGAATTTTAAGTTAGGATATCGTGTCGTTAATTTGGAGTAGGTACGCTTAATGTGCGAATTGTGGTTTCATGCTGGCTGTAGTGGTTATGAATTCAGTGTGTATATCTGTGATTGTTGTAAGAGCAGTAACTAAGAACACTAAACTATATGTTACAAAATTGAGAAATTCAATAGTTTCTTAGGAAAGGTGTAAATAATTGTCAAATAAAGGTGATTATAATTTGGAATACTATATTCCAAACTACCTGCACCATAAGTAAATTTGCGCTTTTGGAATTTCTTATTTTGGATAAATATGTATTTTGATGGGGTTCCTGGTTTTTGTTTTGTTTGATTGTCTACACGTTAAAATTTAATATTTTCCCAATAATTTAATGCTTTTTTTATTTGGCTATCCCGCTTGTCTTGCAATTTATTTCCAAAAAACAAACCAGTATTCTAAATATACTGCAGTTTCTCTATTTGAAATAACCAGAAACACACTACAACTTGTGCTTTTGGGAACTTAAACATCCAATTTGCGAATATGGTCCTGTAACTTGTAAAGTATGGAATAGTACTAGTATATTGTGTTTGAAACTTACATGGAACACAATATCTAGTATGATTACAAGATAAAAAGTAGATTTACTTGTAATAATTATAGCATACTTTTTGTGGAATAGGGCTCCAGGCTTAATTGCCTGTGGACACCATGACACACCGGAATCCGTAGAGTAGGACTAGTTCAATCGACGGAAAAGGATCTACCACCTACATATTAATATCAAGGGTACTGAAGGTAACCTGTATAACGCTTAGAGGCGTACGCATCGCATATAGGTCTCAAGCCACTGAGCCAAGAAGTTATCTAAGGAAGTCGTTCGACAATTCCATATCGTCCTTCCTACTGCTCACTGAACTCTTCATAGCTCCACCTTTTATAATCCACTAATTATGCACCGCACAGAATGGGGTTCGGTCGTTTTCCCCTTCTTGTAGGAGTGCAGAAGGTAGGGACGAGGATGTAAGCGATGGTAGATGTAAATATATTTCAGCCGTTGGCAGATCGGTCGCGTCTCCCGAAATGAGGAAGGAGGAGTAGCAGAAAAAGTAACGAGATAAGATATTGGAAAATCGCGGATTTCGTGTAACAGTCTTGGAAAAAGCTTCAGGTTGACGGCTGGTAAGAAAATAAGCTATCTGAAAGGGGAACCGCTCAGATTAGTATTCTGCTTAAAGTAACGCCAAAAGGAAGCCCTGTTTAAACAGGATATCTTCTTATGTGGCAAAGCGGAGAAGTTTTCTTTGACGCTCGAGAATATGAACGAAATGATCAGGCTGATGACTCTTTCAAAAAAAATTGCCAGTCAGTGAATTTTACTAAAAGAAACGCTTCAGAAATAATCATTCCTGTATTAACAGACCACTATGTCACTTTTCCTCTGATTTAAGTAACTGAAAGACGGTCATAGAAGAAACGCTTGCACAAAGTTTGCTATCTGTACATTATGCCTTGATTACATGTAACGAGTAAAGTGGCGAGACAGCAAAATATTACTAGGTCGAGAGAGTTGTACAGGCGAGGAGGTGCTCACACGTATCTGGAGCTTTTCTGCGAATCAGTACATTGACGATTGGAAGACGGGCTAGTGTTGCTAATAAAAATGGATCATAATGGATGTATCAAGAAATATACAAAGTTGCTCATACCACTTATGATCGAAGAATTATATGAATTATTGCGCGAAAAAAAAATACCTGTTCCATTTTCTTGAGCCACCTAATGTTTGAAGTATACACATTGCTGAGCCCAGCCCCTGATCTCTTTGAATCATTAACTTTGTTCAATTCTTGACTGTATGTGGATCTCAAAGCCATCAATCTCCACTTCTTGAACTTTTGCCACAATTGCGGCATCCCGTTTATGTTTAGTTTTGTAGTCTGTGGACTGGAAATTCCACAAACAAGAATGCAATTTGTATTGGTGGATGAACTGGATTATGGTATCACTGTCCCATTTATTCTTTGCCATATTTTGTTTCAAATGGACACAGCCACAATATAAAACTAGACAGAGTTGCTTTGGTTGGCGAGAAATAGCACACCGAGTGCCTGTTCAGCGACATACCGAGTAGGTAGGAGGGAAAGCACTCGGTCTAGGAAGTAGAAAAGGGTCCGAGTGACTGTCTCGCTCTTCTACTGGGTCCAGTGCTCGGCCGAGCGCTCGGTTACGTGTCGATACTAATGCCTTGATTACATGTAACGGGTACAGTGGCGAGACAGCAAAATATAACTAGGCCGAGAGAGTTGTACGGGCGAGAAGGTGTTCACACGCATCTGGAACTTTTCTTTGAGTCAGTGCATTGTCGATCCGGGCTAGTTTTGCTAATAAAAATGAATCATAACACCTGTATCAAGGAATATACAAAGTTACTCATACCACTTATGAATGAAGAATTATATGAATTATTGCGCGAAAAAAAGAAGCGTGTGTGGACAAGAAAATTAATTGCAAGAAGATCAGAATTTGGTGCTAGTAGCACACTTTTTAGAGAATTGCAGTGAGAAGATCCTAATGAATTCAGAGCACTTTTGAGAATGGAAGGATGCATTTCAATGCATTATTGGAAAGTCTCACTCCAATGATACAAAAAGAAAATACTGTCATGAGGGAAGCTATACCTGCAAGGATTAAATTACAGGTGGCATTAACATATATTGCAACAGGAGTCAGCTACCGTTATTTACAAACCTTCTATAGAATATCTCGAGCTGCAATATCGTTACTCATACCAGAGGTAATGGATGCAATATATGTCTATTTGAAAGACTATGTAAAGGTAACTGATTTTTTATCAGGCATTTTTTGAGAGTGAATAGTTTCTTAGATTCTTGGGCTGACATTAAATATAACATAATAGTAAATTCGTTTTATTATGAAAGTAGCAAACATTCAAAATTTATTTCGACATTAAACTTGTTCGTTCCCGATGTCACTGTCACAGGCAGCAGTCATAGCTAGCGTTATAATATCATTCGTGGTGCGAAGAGTGTCCGAATCTGAGGTGAGGTCATCAAATCTGTTTGTCACATGGTCTGTTGACGCATTAGATGTATAACTAACATCAGTGAAATTTGAAAATACAGAAGATGATCTTTGACGGCTGTTATTCGGCGCAGACTTTTCTCTGTAATCCTTGATACCGATTTCGCTCAAAAGGCTTTGGATTCGACACTGCTAATGAGGCATCTTCTACCGAAAAAGTTTTAATTTGCGATGCAACACTCTTCCCAAACACGTCAAGAGGGTTTTCTTCTGCATAATTGACTTGCTCATGTAAGCTTTTCAAATCAGAAACCGCTTTGACAATATCCCTACTCCTCTTCCTTGCACGTGAACTATTTCCAATGCTGCTAGTAGAAGCTGATGTAGGTAAATTTGTGACGTTGGTTTGTGTTACATCAGCTGTAGTAATTGCTTCGATGTCGCGGGATTGTAAGGTCACGGAGGGGTTATTTTCTTGTGCAATGGTATCTTCAGTCCATTAATCTGAAAATAACCGAAATCCTGTATTGTTTCAGGTACCACAGAACTATGAAGAATGGCAAAAGATAGAAGCAGGCTTTAGAACTAGATAGAATTTTCCTGGTTGCTAAGGCGCTATAGATGGGAAGCATGTATTGATTCAAGCACCTCCGAACTGTGGAAGTGAATTTTTGACTACTGTTTCCGTGATGTTAATATCGAAGCAAATGGAAGAAACTCGGACAGTGGAATTTTCAGAAATAGCGCATTATATAGCGACCTTGAAAACAATATGCTACCAACAGGTGGTTTTCTAGTTGGTGATGATGCTTTTGCACTGAAGACATTTTTATTGAAACCATACAGTGGCACAAACCTCACAAGAGTACAAAAAATATTTAACTATCGATCATCTAGAGCACATAGAATAGTTGAAAATGCATTTGGCATCCTAACAAGCAGATTTAGAATATTTCAAAAACCTATACCAACTGACGTCAACACAACCGATAAGATTATTCGAGCCTCACGTGCTCTGCATAATTGGTTGCGCCTAACAAGTCCCAGTTGTTACTTTCCAAAGGATTGCGTGGACGTAGAAGATATTGACTCTGGAACAATTGTTGAAAGGACTTAGAAACAAGAACTCATAGCCACCTGGCCATCTATCACCAATCACACTACCAATAATTCACCACGAATAGCAAGAAATCTCAGAGATAAGTATGCCGAATACTTTAGTGGAGCAGGTACTGTTGTATGGCAAGATAGAACGATTTCATAGTTGTAACCAAACCAAATAAACTACTTACATTTTCATATGTCTTTCTTTTCAGATCGTGAATAAACACCTCTTCCATTTCCTTCAGCCACTTGATGTTTGAAGTATACACATTACTGAGCCCAGCCCCTGATCTCTTTGAATCATTAATTTTGTTCAGTTCTTGACTGTACGTGGATTTCAAATTTTTAATCTTATTTTTGACTTCTTGCATTCAAAGCCATCAATATCCATTTCTTCAACTATTACGGCAATTGCAGCATCCCGTTTCTGTTTATTTTTGTAGTCCGTCGACTGGAAATTCCACAAGCAAGAATGGGATTTATATTGTTGGATAAATTTGATTGTGGTATCACAGTCAAATTTATTCTTAGCCATATTTTATTGAAGGATGAAACAGTCAGACCATAAAACTAGACGCAGTTTCGCAGTTGCTTTAGATAGCGAGTGATATAGCACACCGAGAGAGAAAGTAGGGGGGGTGGCGCTCGGTCTAGTAAGTAGAAAAGGGTCCGAGTGACTGTACTAACCGAGTACTAGGCCGAGACCACTGTCTCGCTACTATACTCGTTACATGTAATCAAGGCATAACCGAGCACTAGGCCGAAAGCACTGTCTCGCTGCTATACTCGTTATATGTAATCCAGGCATTAGGAGCTGAAAGCCTTAATTCGACGTTCGAGAAAATGATTCGGTTGCATAAAAATAAGTGAGTGGCTTTTCGCGAAGAACGGAGTAAATACTAGCTCTAACATGCCTTAAGTGAAAACTCAATTGAAACAAGCGGTGAACAGAAAGTAAACGTCAAATAATGACAGTGACGCACATGGTTGCCATATTAATTAAAACTACTAGATCCGAGGACGTTTTGCAAAATCTATTTTATGACTTCGATTCCTTACCGCAACCATCACACGGAGAGTATGTTTTGGAAACGCTAGAGCTAGTAAAAATTCTATCTACTACCTGATACCTCTCTTTCGGACTGTAGAGGCAATAATGGAGCAGCACCATGATCTCGTTCGGTCTTAAAATATTTTTGCAAAACGCTTAAAAAGACACCTCAAAGTTTTGAAAAAATTTTTTTTATAAAATAACAATGCAAATATTGAGGCAAAAAGAACGAAAATGAAGCACAAATGAACAACAGGCGTTGGCGTAATCACCTGACAAGCTTTGCGTCTATGTCACAACACAGAAAACTGTTACCAACATAAACGTCCCGGGAAATACAAACAATTCGTATCAATTTAGGATCTATTTTGCATTATTAACTGATATTTGTGAAAAAATTTATCGGTTCGATGGATGCACAAACGTTATCGTCAACGGCTATAGGCGAAAAGTATTTTTTCCAAGTTTTGGATTAAAGAGGTACTTATAGATTTTCTGGTCGGGTGCATTGGCGCCCGCCGTACGCAATAAGTAAACTTAAGTTGTATGTTACTAAATAAAAGGAAGCATCTGGTAGTTTCATTTAGATACTTGCTTACATTAGTTAAATTAAATACTTTTTTTTATTCGGTTGGTCAGGTAAAACAAATTTCACTCATTTTACAAAAAAGGTGAATGTACAATGTGCTTTGTACTATTTATGGTGGTTGTTCTGCTCTCTCATATCGGGACCCCAAACAACACATTTGTAAACAGCAAATTTGTATACATTATAGCAGACAAAGCCGCTTCTAAACATACGTTGTTTACTAGATACTTTCTCGTTATGGATTTTATTTATGCATTCCCAATGTTTATTTGCATTCTCTACCATCGCTTTAAAGCCAGGCTTGGCAAATCGCCGAACAGTCCATCGGTAGTATTGTGACCACCACTGTTTTAACTTTCCACTTTTGGAGCATACATGTACATCACGAAAAACCAAACCAATCAATTTCGTCGGTTTGCTATGCCAAAGACGAAAACGCTTCTGCAGTTTTTGAGAATCAACAGCACATGGAGGCTTCTTACAAAACCCCTTGGCTTTGACATTTTTTCTATTCTATTTCAATGACCTCCTTCCCTGTACGATCAATCCATTGTTGCTGACAGCACACTATATGCAGGAAGCAGAGTGTCAAGCCGATCTCTGTCGGTGAGCTGGAGAATTGAGGATTAGTAGCGACTTTTTCTCTATCGAGAGACCTGGAGGTTACCACTGCTTGGGGATGCAGCAATCTGGTACAGCTTATTGCTTCCAGAACACGGCACAGCACCTTGACTAGCAAGAAGTGCCGCGCTCTACCAAAGAGCAGTTCATTTTGATTGGTCGGAGTTCACCGAGGACTTGATCTGGCACGAACACATCTCGTCACCCGCGGCAGCAGCTGGTAACAAGTTACGATATTTGTTTAGGGTTAAGAAGCACTTTTCTCCAAATAACGTCCTCATTCTGTATAAGGTCCAGATACGCTTCGAATACTGTTTACATCTTTGAGATGCAGCCGTCCCGACTACATTATCCATGCTCAATGCTCTTCAGAGTAGGGCCGTGGATTGAGCCATGACTATCCTCTAACAGATAGACCCAAAACCTCATTTAGGCTACCCCCACGTGGCTGCACCGGTATAAAACAAACTTCCCGACTTCGCCGCCTTATACTAATCGAGTCGAACTTTGTTGCAGATACAGAACTGGCCGGTACAACCGCTCCTTTGTCTCTAGGGTTTTTTGACTCTAAAACAGTCTGCCTGCAGTCGCTTTTCCCAGTTCTACTGACCTTAGGCAGTTCAAAAATGTAACTAACGAAGAATCCGTAAGCTCCTTAAAAATGGAAAAATAGAAACTGATCTCACTTTGTCTTTTGACGTTTTGGACACTATTCATCATTTAAAGAACAAATTTAAGAGTTGGAAACTGTGAATTGGGGGTCTAAGGGAGGGCAAATGTTATATCTATGGTAGTTAAAGACGTTACATTATTAAGAAGCTTCTGATACCGGTAGGAGACCGAATGGGAAGGACAAATTCTAATACCTATTTATAATCTAGTATTATCTAGGTATATCAGTATGGAACTAACCACGTAATTCTAAAATCGTCGATAGGGATATGTGGAAATATGTATTTGTGAATGATATTTTGATGGTTTTCATTCCTACTACACTTTCTTCTACATTTATGACCCTTGAATTTGTGTTTGTATGTGATGCTTTAGCTGATATACGAGTACTCGGACTCTGAAAAACACATATACCCACATGTCCATATTCCTATAGAAACGAAAATGACTACTGCGGGAGTAATAACAGGAGACTGACTGAGTAGTTCTCTACAGGTGTATACCCAATTCTTTACAATGTTTCCTGAAGGTGCCAAACCTATAGTATATTCACAAGTTCCTAATACTAATAATAGACTCATGACTTGAATATGATTTATGTAGACCTAACGAGGTTTAAGAAAGCAATCATTATTCTACAAATTATATAGCGGCTCAATCCATCTGTATGAGAAGTGATGAACTTTGCTACAAGACATCGGTTCGCAACTTTGATGAGAACTTGTGCTTCCATGATCATGTCACTAAAGCTGTTCAGGGTTCCTATGCTAAGTCGAAATCAATTTGTAGCTATAAAAATGTATTGTCAAAGCAGACTAAGGTTAAGTTGTGTGATTCCCTTATCCTCAGTAAGCTTGAATACGGAGAACTTTTCTATGGTCCATGTCTTAGAACGAGGCGTATAGAAAAGTGCAAAACAGCTGCATAAGATTAAGTTTAGGTATTCAATATATTTAATGACTTACTATGCGACAAAGTATTTTGATAAATAAATTGACTATTTATTTAATAAAACAAGCATACCATGAGATGTGATCATCACTCAGCAATCTGGGCCTTGAATGATATACCCTTAACTTACTTCAGCACCAAACAACACATTTCAGAAGGAGCTTTCTATTTTTGGCACCCTATTTCTACACTAAAGCTTCGAAATCTATGTGTCCAGCTTTAATAGAAAGATTGTGGTCTTTGTCTTCGATAACATATAACACGTACTTTTTATGCACCTTTATTTTTATATTTGTTTATTTGTGCACGTTTTCTCACTTTTGTTCGTTTGTGTTTTGTATACGAGTCTGTTTGCTTTCAATTTCGGTATCTCCTATTATTATCTTTTACTTTTATTTCTAAGCATAGTTTTTGATCTTGTAAAGCACTGTGCTGATGCAGGTTTATTTTTTGGCCATTATTCCATGTTTAGGCTACGATGCTACCCAACTTTTGTCCCACTTATTTCTCTTTGTGTTTTTTTTTTGTATTTGCATCTACTTGTAATTTTTTAGCCCTGGTTGGTTTTAAAAAACAGTATTTGCTGATGTATTATCCTGTAAAACGGCAAAAAGTTGAATTTGGTTATTTTATAAAATCTAACAAATCGTTTTTGACTATGCTCAAAAGACTTAGACAGGGATTTGTAACAATTCAGATAGTCTTAATAACAAAAAATATGTTAATTGATGTTTGTGCCTCGAAATAGCGTAACGATCTGTTCCCTGAGCTCTAGTCCCCCTATAACATGAAAAGTACAGTTTTGGTAACATTTTGATAAAGAGTTATATGTTTTGAAAATTGACTTACTGACGGCGGAGCTATAACACTCACTATAACATGATGTTTCATAAACCACTGCCAAGTTTCAGAAATTTTATAAAGGGTTCGAAAATGGGAGTTTGGGGTTGTAAGGTTTGTAAGTGATGCATCTTTAGTATCAGTGAAATACGTTCTGTTATTAGGAGTCGCTGCTATCGGTAGTGCTACGTAACACACTTAGACATAATAGCCACACAAATTTAGCACTTCAAAATTATGATGCATTGTTACTCTGATAAATATACCTAGTCAAGTTTCGCTTTAAAACTTGCTAATCTGAACTTACTTTTCAGAACTTTCTTGAGAGACAATGGTGTATGATCGTAAGGACTGTCACGTAAAGATATTATACCTACTATATATTTTGCACGTTGTATGAAAAACCGTGAAACTCAACTTTGTATCCCTACCCGGTGGCGGTGGAGCTATACATAGTGTTTCAAAAGGACGTGCCAATATTTCTAGGGTCTATTTATGACAATGAACGAAAGTCATATTTACGAAGCGAGTAGAAATACTGAGTTAAAATTTAAGGCGTTCTGTGAGCACATCATAAGCAATAAACACACAGAATTTCCCGGTCCAAACAAGACCAGGGACGTAGAATCTAGGGTACCTGGTCCCCC